TGCATGGAATTTACATTATCTGTAGATAAATCCCACAGTGTGACATGTTAATGAGTATTTCAGCAAAATCCAAAGGACAATTAGAAACATCAAGTTGACAGGAGTCATTTTTAAAGACACACACACCACACACATAATAAAGGGCACAGTGCCAATGGTAAGGATTCATTTGAAAGACACAACCCACTTTCCTGGTAGAGTGGGTTTGACTCCACTGCCCTCCACTTCGCCCTCCTTTGAGAGGGTTGTGTAGAGTGCAGAGCTGGAATCCGGATTAAGGCTTCTTGAAATGGCACTCAGCGGAGCTGAGGACTCAAGGCTGCATGGTGATGGGGCTCAGGGACCCTGTCCTGCGTACTTTTTTCCTCTTCAATGCACGGAACGGTCTTCTAGTTTGTAAGACATCCGCATCATTTCTCAAGTCCCCTGTGTGCCTGTCTTCCTCTCAGGCCCCAGGGTATTGCTATGAGTCTTTGACTCTAGTAGGCATGTCATGGGAGGTGGGGTGCCCATTTCCCTTGCCAGGACTCCTCTCACTGCCCAAGGACCCACCCCCTCTCTCCAAGTCAGTCTGTTATAGAACAATAAGTAAAGGCCAATCAGTCTTGGATGACCTCGCCTGTTTCATAAGCACAGACTTTAATTTGCTCTAACTTTGACATTAGAAACTCCCAAATTTGCTTTGTGCTGAGTTCAAAATGAGGAAGGGAATTTGGTCAGAGCTCTTGAGAAAAAAGACTCTGAGAACACATGGCTCCATCCATCTGGTCTATACTCTATACTTTCTTCCTAATGTGGTCCAGCATGAGTCATATGCTATTGTGTTCCCTAACAAATCCCCTGGACTCTACCTCCCCTGGAGAAAGAACTCAAGCTCATAATCTCCATGCCACGTGTTGTGATTGGCACAAATATGTATCATGTGTAAGGTGTGTAAGTGATAGGCCATGGGCCATGTCCTTCTGTATGCTGTGAATATATGTTTCTCTTATTGGTTGATGGATAAATGCTGATTGGCCAATATGGCCAGTAGCAGAATGCTGGGAAGAGGAAGGCAGAGAGGAGCTGCGGGGGGGGGGGTGTGAAGAGGACAAGGCATCACCAGTAAGCCAAGACAAAGTGGAGACATACAGATTAATAGAAATGGGTTAATAACTAAAAGAGCTAGCCAAATAAGAAACCTGACCCATCATCCAAACAGTTTATAAATAACATAAGCCTCTGTATATTTATTTGGGACCAAACGACTATGGGACTGGGCAGAACAGAAACCCAGTCTTCATGTAAGTGTGGAAATGACTGAAAAGGAAACAAAGAGATCAGCAGATCTGAGTAAAAATGAATTAAAGCCATGACAATGCTTCCTTAGGTATCTACCAGGAAAAATAAATGTACTTTTAACAGGCAAACAACAATGGGAAGGCTATGCATCAACCAAAGCTGCAGCACAGTGTGCATGGAAATGCAGACAATGCAGTCACTGTGCAGAGGAAGTCAAGTCTTCCTGTAAAATTATCTGGATACCGGGAGGGCAGTGAGGTGAGTCAGCCAATAAAGGTGCTTGCCACTGAGCCTAACAACCTGAGTTCAGTTCCCAGGGGCCACAGGTAAAGGGAGAGTGTAAGTGAGTGCTCATAGGCACACGCAATAAACAAACAAACCAATAAATATAAATTCTAATAAAAATTTACAAATAAATCCAAACAGAAGCTTAGCATATTGTTCAAGTGTCTAACCTTATATTTTCAAAAACAAAGCTTTGATGTGCACAAAAATATTTATAGCATCTTTATTAATAAGTACCCTAAAATGGGGACAATCCAACAGTACATAACCCACAAACATATGTGACAATTTGTATGAGTCTCCAGTGAAACATGCTAAGTATGAGAACCACATTCACAAAGTTACATACCAGCCAAGTGTGGTGACATGTGCCTGTAATTGCTAATGGGACCTCTGCAGCCTCCTAGGAGACAACTGTAGTGCTTGTGAGTCCCAGCTTCTACTAGTCTCCAATATACCTTGGCTAGTGGCCCCTTCCAAGTCAGCAGTGCCAACCTTCAGATGTAAACGGAGTTCTTAATTGGCCTAGGTAATAAACATCTGAAGTCAGATATAGAGGACAATGCTAAGAGATCAGAGAATAGAAGGAGCAAACCACCACCGCATGTTACCTCCTTGGAGTCTCAGCAGACAACAGAGTGAGTTCCTGTTTCTCCCTGCTTATATCCTGTTTCTGCCCAGCTATCTCACTTCCTGTCTGTCTGTACAGACCTCCAGACCTCTATGGCTAGCTAGCAGCAAGCTCCTCTGACCTTCAGACAGGCTTTGTTTTTTTGTTTGTTTGTTTGTTTGTTTTTTGATTGTTTGTGTTTTTGTTGGGTTTTTTTGTTTGTTTGTTTTGTTTTGTTTCGAGACAGGGTTTCTCTGTATTGTTTTGGAGGCTGTCCTGGAGCTAGCTCTGTAGGCCAGGCTGTCCTGGAACTCACAGAGATCCGCCTGCCTCTGCCTCCCGAGTGCTGGGATTAAAGGTGTTGTGACAGGTTTTATTTGTACAAGCAAGATATCACCACATTCAGATCTCTCGCGTGTGCCTGGTCTCACTTCCCTCATATCTTTTCCTCTCTTAGTCTCATTCTACATACTGCTTGCTTGTTTTTTGTCAACATGACACAAGTTAGAATCATCAGAGTCATATGAGAAGAGGAAGCCTCAACCAAGACAATTCCTCACTCAGACTGGACTGATTGTAGGGGAGCCTGTAGGGCATTTTCTTTATTAATGATTGATTGGGGATGGCGGGGCTCACCATGGGCAGTGCCACTCCTGGTCAGGTAGCCCTGGATTATATTAAGAAAGCAAGCTAAGCAAGCCATGAGAGCAAACCAGTAAGCAGCATTCCTCCATGGCCTCAGTTCCTGCCTCCAGGTTCCTGCCCTGACTTCCCTTCCTAATGGACTGTAAGTGCTAAGATGAAATAAACCCTTTCTTTCCCAAATTGTGGTAGGTCATAATTTTTAACAGATAGCAATGGAAAGCAAACTTGAAAACTGTCTCCCCTGCCTGTCTGTCTTTCTAAGGATGCTTACTTACATTTACATTTACAATACTGGACAAGCTTTTTCTTTTGGGATCTTTGACTTAATAACACTCATGACTTCCTTTACCTATAACATCTGCATTATTGGGTCCTGGAGGTCGGAGTGAGAGCCTCTGGTCAGGGTGGGGTCACTTTGCTAGCTACATACAGTGTAGTGACATGGTTAAATCACTTTGGCCTATTTCTGTTGAAAGGGTCACCTTGTGACCTCTCATTTTGAACTGTGACACCAGAGTTCTCTGTCTCTTGTCTTTCTTCTTCTTCCCTCTATTCAGTGGAAAGTGTTTTACCTGCAGTTTAACTCAATCACTGAAGGGTTTTTTTCCCCTAGTGTTGAAAATAATAAGGTTTAGAGATCTTTAAAGAGAGTCTTTATATGAAGCTTTGAGATCACATGAAATGTACACAGTATGGTCCCTTTGTTCTGTCTTGGTTTCCTTTGCATTTTGGACAAGTGAGACTTGAATCTAGGCTATATGAGACATTGGAAGTAATCATGCTTCCTGAACACTAATGGCATAATTAACTTAGCAACCCACATAGTCTTCCAATATTAAATTCTTGGAACAAAACTAATGCAAGATTAATATTGGATGCCACTGGTGTTGATGGCACTTGTCAACAGCACAGTAGATGGGTTGTCACGTGCATAATTCTGGGTACTGGTGTGCAATTCCATCTTGAATCCTGGCAGTAAAGATTCTGCAACTTCAACTGTAGCTCTCAGGATTATGTCACTTCCAGTGTCTCCTAGGATTCCCACAAAAGACAACCCACAGCTCTGTTGGGGAGGGGACATAGACTTTGGCTCACAGAAGCCTTATACTGCCCAGGCTTTGCTGAAGTGTCCCAACGCACACAGTTCCTCTGTCCCTCTGTAAATCTCGCTCTGTCTTCCGTTCGATTCAATGACCTCGTTCTTTCTTATTTGGAACCCTGTTTGAGTTCTACTTTCAGTTATTATATTAATTTACATACCAATTCCTGGAGGGATTTCTATTTGTCCTATCTATCCCATTGTAACTGTTCTTATTATATTCTAATAAAACTTCCATTAGAAGCATTTATGATAGCACTTAAGATGTCAGCTTAGAAGGTGGGATTCACCTTGCTAGTCCCTGTGCTGTCTATCAACAGAGATATAAGTCCTTGTTTCTGATAAGGGCACTGTAAAGTCAGCTTTCCCCCCACATGGCCAGTAAAGGTGTTGTAATGACAGGACTGTTTGCAGAGCTGTAGAGACTGTAAAGAGAAACTGTAGAACATGTTAGAGCACCTGGAGTCCCCAAACCTCAAAGGCCAAAAGTGGGAGGACTGGCCATGAAGAACTGGGGAGGCCACAGGAGGACACTCCTCTGCCTGGCCAGGGCAGGAGAAGGGTGGAGAGGACAAGGAAATTATGTCCTACTCAAACCTAGTTGGGAATCAGGTGTGGTAACAGATGCATATAATCACACTGGTCAGGGCAGAGGCAGAAAGTATTAGTTCAAGGCCAGCCTGGGCTAGATAGAGAAGCATGTCTAAATTACACCCCCAAAACCTGGTTGGGAACTGCATGATGTAGTCCACAGTGGGCCGTTTCCTGATAGAAGATGGGACAGAGAGGAACATGGTCTGGAAGAGTACAAAGAAGACATCCAGCATGGTGGCCTGTTGAAAGGCGCATTCTCCCACATTGGCCTTTGGGGTTTTGTTTTAGGGAATCCCACATGTTCCCACGGCTTAAATCCTGATCCTTTTGACTTGGGGCACCTCTGTCCTCATCTATGTCTGTGGGGGATCTAAAGTTGAGCCTACTACTGTGACCGATTCGCATCTCACCCCTCTGTGGACAGTAAGACGACCTGCCCAGCTGCAGTGTGCAGGGGCTCTCCTTGACTCTTCTGTCCCTTTCCAGGGTGGAGCTTCAGCATGGGCTCAGCCTACCAGTTCCACAGCTGGCGCGTCTTCGTCATCGTCTGTGCGCTCCCCTGCGTCTGCTCTGTGGTTGCACTCACCTTCATGCCGGAAAGCCCTCGGTTCTTGCTGGAGGTAATGCCTGTTGTTACAGAAGTGCAAGTGGCCCGTGCACACTGGGAAGGTTTCTTTGCTGTTTCCAGGAAAGCATGCCTGCCTCTATAAGAGGTGCATTTCCCCTTCCTACTATGGGATTTTGCAGGGTTTGATTTCGTGGAATCGTGCTTTTAGCAAAGAGGGTGTGTAAAAGCCATCGGACAGCCAAAACTGTGCATGCTGTTCCCTAAGCAAATAGCTTTTACTCCATGATGGGGATACTGCTCACTGTTTAAAAAATGAAGCCTTACTGTCCATAGGTGCTATTTCTTCCAACTGCTGCTTTATACTGGTATCCTCAGCCTGTGTGCTTCAGTGGAGAAGAACTGTACACATTTGCATGAAGACCTTCCATGGGCTCTGAAAACCCAGTTGCTGAAAGGCAAGAGTAAGAATGTCTGGCTTCTAGCTCTGACTGCCTGTGTATTTCTTAGGTGGGAAAGCATGATGAAGCCTGGATGATTCTGAAGCTTATTCATGACACCAACATGAGAGCTCGGGGCCAGCCAGAGAAGGTCTTCACGGTGAGTCTGCTCCTTAGACAACCCTTGAGTTCCCAACACATTTTCTGTGAGGGGCCAGACTTTTAAGGTCTTGCCAGTCATAGAGTATTGTGTGTATGTATGATGAGTGTGTGCCCATGTGTGTAGAGACCAGAGGACACCTCAGTGTCAGCTTCAGGAATTTCATCCTCATCCTTTGACATGGTGGTTTGTTGAAGAACCAGTTAAGCTACATGACCTGGCCTAGATCCCAAGTCTGATCCCCATCTCTCCAGCAATGATATCACATGTGTGTATCAGCATGCCCATCACATGTATATGGGTTCTGGAGTTGGAACTCAGGTCCTCACACTTGAAAAGCAAGCTCTCTACAAACTGAGCTATCTCCTTTCTTCCCCAAAGCAGAATTGTTCTTAAAATAAAGAACCACAAGGAGTTATAGAGGTGGCTTCATGGCTAAGAGCACTTACTGCTCATCCAGGGAACCCAGGCTTGACTCTTAACACTGACTTGGTGGCTCACAACCCTCTGTGACCTGGTTCCAGGGATCTGATACCCTTTTGTGGCCTCCAAAGGCACCAAACATACTTGTAGTTCACAGACATTTGTGTAGGCAAAATACTCATCCACATAAAATTAAAAAATGTCTTGAAATCCCCCTCCCAAAAAGAGAATAATAAAAACTAAAGGACTGCAAGACCAAAGAAGTCTTGAGATGTCACTGAGGTACCAGATGTCGCTCAACCCTTCTTGGCCAGGTGACCACCAACCCTTTAACAAAGACCTTCTGAGAAGTTGTTTCTGCAGGCACTTGCTGCCCTGCTCACCTATTTTGCTTATAGAAGATCTGAGTAGTCAAGCCTACTCATGGCCGCCCTGGTCAGTGTGACCACTTAAAAGTTAGCGGGGGATAAGGTGAGAGCATTCCAAGAGCGTTGGGAAACTCAGAAGCACCTGTAAAAGGCCGCTGCAGGATTCTACCAGGACAAGTTTACCTTTTCCTCTTGTTCTGTGTACAGACAGGCTCTTGTTTTGAAGCAATATACACTAGCATGTACTTTAAAAGATGATTCTCTTTTGATTCCTGGGGCTTGCATCTCTTCGCGCCCTATCTTTACTGTTGATGTTGCTTTCCACGGCCTTGTTTTCAGCTGACTTGTGGAGTATGTGTATCTGTATGTGTTACTGCGTGGTGCATGTACATTGTGTGTACATGCCTGACGATACACAGAGGCCACTAAGCGTTCTGTTCTACCAGCCTCTGCTTCTTGGCTTTATTCCTTTGAGAAAACAAGCCTGGAAATTCTCTTTTTCTTCAGTCGCCATAGCACGGGCATGGTTCAGGCCCAGCCCAGATACAGCTTTTTACATAAGTGCTAGGGATTTGAACCCAGGCCCTCATGCTTTGAGCAGCAAGCTGTCTGATCTGTGTACCATCCCCCCAGGTCTCAGTTGACATCTCTTTAGACTCCATCCACTCTCCTTGGCTGGCCTCAGCTGCTCCCTGCATCTCTGGCCCATGCTGCTTGGATGTCCCAAGATCCAGATACATGAATAAAAGGTCTCTGTGGGCATCCTATGTGTCCAGTGGTCCGTCAAAAGCTACCTTCTAAATCAGAATTTCCCATTCTTAAAGTCCCCAACCTCTTCCTTATCCCACATGCCACCAGCAAGTATCAGCAGCACCATCCAAACTTAAACCTGCAGGCCATCTTCTTTAAATTATGAGACACTGGCTCTCCCACAAGAGCCAACAAAATAAAATATATTTCAAAAAATTATGAAAAACAAATATTGAAGACTGGACAAGTAGAAGCTCTCAAAAGTTAAATAGTCGGGCCGGGCATTGGTGGTGCACGCCTTTAATCCCAGCACTCGGGAGGCAGAGGCAGGTGGATCTCTGTGAGTTCGAGGCCAGGCTGGTCTACAGAGCGAGTTCCAGGACAGCCTCCAAAACAATACAGAGAAACCCTGTCTCGAAAAAAAAAAAAAAAGTTAAATAGTCGGGTTTTTTTTAAAGAACTAAAAAATTCAAAGACTGCATTGCTTACACACTCTTGTAAGCCCAGCATTTAAAAGTCTGAGACAGGAGGATCTCAAGTTTAAGATTCACATGGGCAACATAGTAAGACACTGCCTCAAAAGAAAGCATAGTTATCCATTTACTCTATTTGGAAACCCATAGTTAACTCAAAAGTGGTTTTTCTTAACTAGAGACAGTGTCTTTCCAATATTCAAAAGGAGACTACTACTCACCTAGCACAATATGAAAGATACCAAGAGACCCAGCCTCCAAACAGTATCTCCAATAGAATTGCCATTTGGGATATTGGCAGGCTGAAAAAAAGAAAATAAAAATTAAAAAAGAAAAAGAAAAGAAAAGCCCACTCAGTGCCTAAGGAAAATAATATACACACTATTGTGTCCTCTTTATTCAAAAACAGGGATTACCTCCCTCCCTCCCTCTCCCTGCCTCCCCCTCCATGTCCCTCCCTCCCTCCCTCTCCCTGCCTCCCCCTCCATGTCCCTCCCTCCCTCCCTCCATGCCACCCTTCATTCTTTTCCTGTATTGAAATCCTTTCTCACCTGTGTTGTGTCCCTTTTCCTTAGCTCCAAGAGGCTACAGATGTACATTGTCACAAATGTACATTGTCACATATGCACACTGTCACACTGATCCTTCATCTTCTCTTTCTCTTATGTAACCGAGGAGTCAGGGTTGATGCTTGCAGTGGAAACATCTTCCGTTGTAGCCATCTGTGAGTGTCTGCTGGCCAGCCACCGGGTTACCCTACGGGTGAAGGAAAAACAGGTCATAGTGACACTCTATGGATAAATGTTGAATGGGCAAGTGTTAACAACTACAGTTAAAAGCCAATAAATAGCCGGGCGGTGGTGGCGCACGCCTTTAATCCCAGCACTCGGGAGGCAGAGGCAGGCGGATCTCTGTGAGTTCGAGGCCAGGCTGGACCGACAGCCTCGAAAACAATACAGAGAAACCCTGTCTCGAAAAACCAAAAAAAAAAAAAAAAAGCCAATAAATAGTCCCCCCTTCCCCCGCCAAAATAAAAACCTCCAGGAAAAGTACCTCTACATGCAGAAGTTCATGTCTCTGGTGTTTAATCTGCTGGCATGGGTCTTTGAAGTGGCGATGAAAAGGGAGGCATTTTTGCCTTAGGTCGTTCCATCCCCATTGCTCCCCCTCCCTATTTCTCTATGGAATTCCCCATCATTAAGTCATATTCAGTTCCTTCAGGTGTCCTCTGGATCTGTAGATCTCTGCCAGTGTTCTCATGTGTATGCAGAGTTCTTACCAAATACCCCTTTCCGTTCAGAGTTGTGTTTTGCTCATTTAAAATAAATAGCTTAAAATTAGCAACTTCAGGGAGGGGAATTCAACCCTTTGCACTCTGTTGCTGTCCACAGGTGAATAAAATCAAAACTCCCAAACAAATAGATGAGCTGATTGAGATTGAGAGTGATACGGGGACGTGGTATAGGAGGTGTTTTGTTCGCATCCGCACAGAACTGTACGGAGTAAGTATAAGATTCACGACAATCCACAGGCCAATTTCTGACATTTGGGGGTAGTCACAAGAGGGAAAGGCTATGCCTGTCCCACAAAGAGGATGTGTCCCCTCTGTCTAAGGCACCTGTCTCTTGCACTAGGAGCAGGTAACTGGACCCCTTTCAGCTCAGTAGCTAACCAGTATGCTCCATCCTGAAGTAGGAAAGGGGCAGGCTAGGAGTTAGGGCAATGAAAGTCTGCCTTGGTGTCCATTGGCCTCCAGGAAACTGAAAAGTGAGCATTGCTAGGTATGCCTGGTAGTTAGAGCCCATAATTCCATGAACTGAACATTCAAGCTGGGAAGCTTGATGAAAACTTGTCTCAAAAGTAAAAAGTAAAAAGAAGGTTTGGGGATGTAGCTCAATGGTAAGAGCTCTTGTCCAGCACTCATGAAGGCCCAGGTCCAGTCACTGGTACTGCAGGAAAAAAAAGAGAGGGAGGGAGGGAGGGAAGGAGGGAGAGAGGGAGGGAGGGAAGGAGAAAATTTGCGCCTTTGCTTCTATATTGATGTTAAGACTTTATATTGTAGTTGAAATTAATTCAGCTCTGCAAAAACCTGGCTCTTTTATAATTTGTTGGGAAGGAATAGGGAGTGGGGTTCCATGTGTTATGATAGATAGATAGATAGATAGATAGATAGATAGATAGATAGATAGACAGACAGACCAACCGATCACTAACCATCTGGTATTTCACAGATTTGGTTGACTTTTATGAGATGCTTCAACTATCCAGTCAGGGAAAACACAATAAAGCTCACGATTGTTTGGTTCACCCTGTCCTTTGGGTAAGTGGTATTTAAATTCTCAGTGGACAAAATCAACTGTCACATTGTGACTCCCAGTGGTTTCTTTGTCTTAGTTTTGTCCTTCCTTCCTCCTTTTCTCCTTCCTTTTTTCCTTCTTCCTTTCTTAATTTTCACATGGCTCAATTCTGCTAACTTGCCAAAAAAAGGATGTTTCTACCATTTCCACACTCCCTGTTCTCTTCTCAGCTTTATTCTCCCTTATGGCACTTCCTAATTTCTACCATACAAAATGTTTTTTAAAGATTTGCTTTACTTGAACTGGGTAGTAGTGGCCGCACGCCTTTAGTCCCAGCTTTTGAGAGGCAGAAGCAGGTTGATTTCAATGAGTTCAAGGCCAGCTTCATCTACAGAGTGAGTTCCAGGACAATCAAGACCGAGAAACCCTGTCTTGAAAAAAGCAAAAAAAAATGCTTTACTTATTTACATGTGTGTGAGCATATGCACATGTGTTACAGATGCCAGAAAAAAGCACTGGAGATATATCCCTGATATATAATAGGACCTCAGTAAATAGTTGTTGCCATATGAATAAGACTTCTATATGCATGTTCTAAGAATGGTAAGGGTAAATGGTTTTATTTACTGATGCTCAATATCTCTACCACAGAATGTGTGTGTGAAACCCTGTTACCTCATAATAACCTTGCACTGCCAGGTCCAAAGGATCTGGGTGCCTGGTAGAGCCCAGTATCAACCATACAGGTTCCATCTCTCAGCATCTGTAAACTAAGCAAGCATTCCCCAAAGCATCCCCCTTTCCTACTGTTGGCAAGGGGAATGCTTTGGGGTAGGGTCCTGGGAGCTCCTTCTGCTATTCAGCTTGGTCAATCATGAAATTTCATTCCACATTTCTATGTTCAGAGGTTTAGAGTTGGAGGCATGACTCAATAGTATAGCACTTGCCAGGTGTGTGTGAGGTCGTGGGTCCTATCCCTTGTTCTGGAGGGTGGGGGGAAGGCAGGTATGTTAAGTAATCTCTCCCAACTTCTACTATATGATTTTAGAAGAGAGTGGTAGAAATGAATAGTATTGACTTCCTACCATTAGCTCAGCACAGAGTTGGGTATGAAAAAGACAAAGATAAACAAAAAGAAAGTTCTCAATGTAGCCAATACCCAGTGGATTATCTGGGTAACTTACTCATTGCTGACTAGAGTTTAAGTTTTATTGCTTCTTTCCTAAAATCTCAGCACTACCTACTATTGAAAGGACATTCAGCAAATGTTTGCTGAATAAGTAAAACATGAGCTAAAACTCCACATCATTGATGGTGGATTTCCCAAGGTAATGTGTTTTCCTTGTCATTTTCAAGCTTAGCCTTGTGACTAGAGAGCAACCCACTGGTGTTGTAGCCCTGAGTCATTGCTTGGTCAGTGACTACTCTCACCCTCCCACTGCACTGATGCACAGCCTGTGAGGGGCATGGGGTTGGAAATTACTGAGAAGTAAATGTTTGAGGAGTCCTGGTGACAATGATGATGATTACAATGACTCATTTGATCTTTGGGGTACCCTTGATGTGGTAGGCATTTTGCATCCCATTATATCTGAGCAACAGCCTATGAAAGGTGGTTAGTCCTACGTCTGTACAGTCATCACAAGTGTGATAAGCCAATACTGAGCTGAGGGGCCCAAGTTGATGCTGCAGGCAAATGACAAGGGCAGGACATAAAGACAGTCTTTGCAAGCCACTTCCTCTCCTGAGCATCTGAGCCTCGCTGGGATAAACTAGAAAAAAATTGGAGCATACAACATAACAGTTCCCTGGTGCACTCCACCCAGATTCATAGCGTCCTGGATCAGGCCAGATTCATGAACATGGTCCAGGGGTCACAATTTGGAAACTACTACATTAGAGTGACACTATTCCATGCAAATACATTTTTTCTGGTAGTGACACCCACAAAAGAAAAAGAATGGGAAAACTTAATTTTAATACTGCTTTATTCAACTCACTATGTCCAAAGTAGCATCTATGGTCAATATAACATTATTAACATATGATTTTACATTATTTTTTCATAACTCTTGAAAAGTCTGTGCTACCAACACACCGCCAGTTGGACTGGCCACCTTTTGGGGGCTTAGTGGCTGCGTGGGGCCAGTGGCTACCGGACTGAACAACCCCACACATGCCACAGCTTTTAGAGTCACACGTGAGCGATCATGAGACAGGGTGGGAGCAGCCTGGCTGTCCAGGATGTTTGACTAGTAGAGTGCTTGCCTGGTAGGCATGGAGCCCTGGGTCTGACCACCCAGCACCCGTAAAGCATGGATGGTGGCATCTGCCTATAATCCCACCAGTGGTGAAGTGGGGTCAGGGAGAGTGGAAGTTCAAGGCCTTCCTCAGCTACATAGTAAAGTGTTAATCTAATTAATCTTTATCAATAAAAAATCAAGAGTAAGAACCTGAAGATCAGAGATGCAGGGAGCAGCCACCAGTCTCCTCCTACCTCTACTATCTCTCTGCCCCACCTTACTACTTCCTGTCTCCTCTCCGTCTACAGTCCTCCAAACCTCTATGGTTAATTCAGGTCTGCTAGTAGCTAGCTCTGCCCTCTGGCTCCAAGTAAGTTTTGTTTGTCAGAACACAATCAAAATATCACATAGCAACATAGAACATCTGAGGCCATCTGGGCGACATGAGACCTGGTCTCAGAATGAAAGACAAGTGTGAGGGGGAGAAGGCTGGGGGGGGAGGAGGGGAGAAGAAGAATGGAGCAGAGGAGTTAAGAGGGAAGGAAAGAAACCCCAAATGTCCCTTTCTGCTGCCTTGAACACCACTGGGAAGCATGGCTCCTAGTCTAGACTAACAGTGTCACCGTCATGTAGGAAGCAAGAACGACGCTCCATTAGTAAAAGAGGCCATCCTGTGGACTCATGCTGGATCTCAGGACTCTGCTCTACGAGGCTAGCAGACAGGCTTTCTCAGTGGAGCCCCTGTTAGTATGAATGACATTAGGCCAGCATGCCACGTGCTGGGAGAGAGAGGGCAGCCTACCAATTATTGTGTGATGATTTGTTCAAATGTTTCAAGGCACCAGTTGTAACTGGAAGTGCTTCTAAGAGCCACTGTCACCCTGAGTATGTCAGGCAGGCCCAGGCCCTTGTGGCCTTGTGTGCGCTGTTACAAACACATGTCTCTTTGTCTCTGCAGGTACTATGGATTGTCTGTTTGGTTCCCTGATGTCATCAAACATCTGCAGTCAGACCAGTATGCCCTGCTAACGAAAAATGTGCAAAAAGATAAATACACAAACTTCAGTATTAACTTTACCATGGAAAACCAGATCCACACTGGGATGGAGTACGACAATGGCAGGTCTAGAAACTTTGATATAACTTAACTTGCTTCGTGAGGGTGTACAATAAATAAAAACCAAAGCCTGACAGGGGAGGGGTTCCAACCGTGTTCTTAGTTATTTGGGGATGGACTTTGATAATTTAGAATCCACTTTAAGGATATACACAATCTTCAGAAATTGGCAGAGAATCGATCATGTGCCTCTTGGAATTTAAGCAAAAAACAACAGCAAAACCACTTGTGAAACAATGTGCTCTCATGCGTACTGAGCAGCAGAACTAACTCTCCAGGATGACGAGAGAGCTTGGAGGCCCTTGAAGGTTGATAAAGAAGTTAGGAAGGAGAGGAGGGGGTGATTTGAAGAAGCAGGAAGGGCAAGAGAGTTGTGTGACTCTACGTGGGAGACTCCCATTTCTGGAAGGCCACCTCTCTGCATAGCACAAATCAAGGGCTGGATTTCAGTGTGTCGGGCAGCCTGTGGGTTAGAGAGCAGAAATGGTCTCCCCAAGGGAAAGGCTACGAAATCAGCACAGGGGGAGCAAGGATGCGACAGGACCAGACTGCTTAGGTGAACCAGGGTCTCAGGGAGGTGGGTCTGCTTTACCTTTTCAGAGAGAAAACCGGATAGACAAGGAAACCGTGTCCATGTACATATCATCTGAACTGAATCGCTGATATGGACTCACAGTAGCTCATTTTTCCTAAAAACTGTCTTAGTTTTTAAAATGATGAAAGCCTTTAGAATTCCAAGATAATCAAAATTGCTCAAGGCAAAAACCTGTTCGTTAAGATGGAAAAGACTTGTGGAATACTTGTGACCTGGATAATGGATACTTGCCAGTATTTGGGGGGGCGGTCATTATTCTAGTTAGCAATCTAATAAGAGCTCTAATCATCTTTTGGGGGAATGTGTGATGGTTTTGTTTATTAGCAAGCTTTTCAATAATACAATTTATGAAATTTAAAAAAAAGCATAGCATTCGATAGAAACTGAAGATAGGAGGCCATGTTACAAGGAGAGACCTAATCACAACCCAGGCCTGATAGCATCCCTCACTCACCTTAACCATTGATGTCTGCATGTGTGTTTCAAAGAAGCTTGAGCATCAAATCCTGCAACTGTGGGATGAATATTTGTTGTAAAAGTAGTGTTCTTCCATTAGAAATTTCTAAGATAACAGCAGGTGTGACGGTGCATACCTGTATCCCAACCCCAGGAATGGGGAGCCAGGAGGTGGCACACTTGAGTCCAGCACCATACATAGTATATACCACATAGCAAATACGCATTTGAGAACAAACAAAAAGAACGTTTTTAAATGTCATTTGTGCCTGATACAGTCATAATTTTAGAAATATTTATTAGCATTCTAAACTGGATGTCTCATTTATTAACCAGTGTTTGGTGTACTAATAATACAATAATTAGTAATTTTAACAATTCTACCATAAAATCCTTGAGCCGGATGTGATGGCACACACCTGTCATCCAGCACTTGGGAGGCATAGGCAGAAAGACTGTGGGGTTGAGGCCATCCTTGGCTCCATCGCCAAAATCTGCCTAAAAAGTCCAAACACCAACGGGGGAGAGGTCTCACTGTGTAAAGTGCTTGCCGTGAAAGCCTCATGAATCCACACAAAAGTCAGACCTGATTGCATGCACATTTACAGTGCCAGCACTCCTGTGGAGAGATGGGGGTGGAGACAGAAGAATCGCTGGACGCTCACTGGCCAGCTAGCCGGGGCTGTGTGCAGTGAAAAACCAGGAGACCTTACTGCAACAAGGTGGAAGAGTTAGAATAGCATTGGAGTTTTCCTCTATGCTCCACGCATATGCCATGGCACCTACATGCTCACACTCCCTCATGCACACAAAGGTGCGCACACCCATGGGGATATTTTTAGGACCCCAGACAAAGAAAGACCTTGTAAACACAGATTTTTCATTTGAAACACTCAGTTTAGATGATAGAAGAAGGGTTTTGTCTTTCAGAGAACTGTGAAATACTGCTGCTGATTCACCTTTAAATAGCAGATTCCCTGTGTGGTGCTCCCTAGTGGATACCCTTTACACTCTTACCTGGACACTGTGGACTGCACAGATAACTAGGGAGTCCTTCCTTGTCTGTGTGCAGAGCGTTCTGGGAGAACCCAGAGACTTCTTCGCCAAGGTTCTAGACAGCAGGAAGTAGGAGGGAGAGGTTTATCATTTCCTTCTTCAACCATTAGAATTTTACACCAGGAATGCCCTGTGTGTATCACACATTAAAATTGCTTCCCTTTCCCAAATTAAGGTTTATTTTAAAATTTTCAGTCTTCACAACCTTCTTCCCTCTCCATTGGTACATTTAACTGCTTTTACTGCGGGCTCCTGGAGTGGAGAATTTGAAGCTGGTTGGTCTGTGAGTCCCCAGTACATTTTCTGTTGGTAAATGCTGTTGGACGTAGGATGGAATAAACTTGAGAGTGCCGAGTGAATTGTTCTCAATCAACTCATGTGCCTCCTCTCTTTGACTTGCTAAGGATTCACCGAGTCTCTACTAAAAAAACAAGACTCACTGGTGCACACTTACCCATGGCTTCAGTGAGTCCAGATCAATGACTCGTGGGCTCTTTTAAACCCACTATCATCTCCACTACCAAGAACTCCCCATCACAGTACCTTAAAAATGTGTCTCACCCCCATTTCATCATTCTGCGTGTCTCCAAAGGTCAACAGGGCCCTCGTATTTTGATTTGGCTCAAGGAAAATCTTTGACTGTGAGAAGGAAAAGACTCCTGGAAATAAGTGTGCATTTTCTCACCCTTGTCAGTCACCCCTCCCACCACGAAGCAGATCTCCCCTGCTCTGCCATATAAGGTTCTAAACTAAGAAATTAGACTTTATGAAAAACTCAGAGGACTAGGGGTACAGCTCAGTGTAGAGCACTTGTCTAGCATGTGCTAGTCCTAGGTTCAATCACCATTGCTGTAATATATAAATATAGGTAAAAACACAATGTTCAAATATTAACACTTCCTCAAGTGAGATTTGCAAGTCTCTATGGAGACTTTTCCAAGAACGGAACTCTGGGGAAAGGCTTGAGGATCGCGATGAAAGCCCAACAATCCAGAGCCACAGTTCTAGGTCTCAAGACTTTTGCCATCATCTCAAAAACTCAACTAGACCTGAGTGCCATTGCTTCTCCTGACGGGAAATAATATTGAACAATGCTACAGCCCAAAAGCCTTATGCCCAAGGTCAAAGGGGTAAAAACAAAATGCCTAGAAAACCAAAAGTACCCTTTATAACTTAAGGATGGTTATAGCAGGGTGCCATAACTCTAAATGCATTTGACTTAGCTTTGAACCCAAATAGGTAAAAGTCAATTCATTTGTGTGTATATGTTTCTACAGATTCCTCGGAGTCAAGTTCAAGTCTGTAACTTTCAAAGATTCAGTTTTTAAGTCGTGCACCTTTGACGATGTGACCTCAGTCAACACCTACTTCAAGAACTGCACATTCATTGATACCCTTTTTGAGAACACAGGTAAGGTATGACTTACACTACTAACAGTGGCAGCAGGGAACCTTCAAAGAGCCTCCATCTTAGCAGACACGTCGTAATCATGTGACAACGGCCCAGAAGCTGGTGTGGCGAGTGGACATTAAAGTGCGAATGAATGATTTCCCCATCTCCATAGAATCAAAAGCAAGCTGGTCTTGTTTTGCTTTCTTGGATTGAATATAGAGGCCTACCCAAGCTCAAAGGTGGCTAAATAAATAAATAGCCTTTGGGGGAACACTTCTTAAAGCAAAGAATTGACCTGTGGATTTATTTGTTTTTGTAATCTCGATTTCACAATCTGGCTCTTGTTTAAGAAAGCCTGTCTAACTCTCCAGTCCACAGTATGTGGCTCTGCTCAGTAGCTTCGAATGCCTTAGCCCCAAGTGCGCAATGGAGTTTCAGAAACCTCCCAGAGAAATAAAGGAAGTGGACAAAAGTGTGTAATGAAGCTTCAGAAATCCCCCAGAGAAATAAAGGAACTGAACAACCCAGTCTGGGTCATCGGACTCTTGCAATCTCAGACAGCTTTCACAATATCTGAGGGTTAGAAAAGTTAACGGATTTTGACACAATAAATGACCTAGTAACCTTAGTAACAACTGACCTTGGAGCCTGGTCTAAGCGACTGTAGTGCCCATGCTTTCCCATTCCCACATATTTGTCTAGAATCACATCCCAGCATGCAGGTAGATGAGCGTCTGCCCTGTTAGCACCCTGGCATTTTGGTGCTCAGTTGGGAGCCAATTCTGCCCCACTCCAGTGAGAACGAGGGCAAGTGTTGTCTTCTGACCCATCTGACCCAGAAGACTAGCTGTTCTGAGGGAGTGGAGGTAAACTTTTGATCAGCAAGGATGATGATGGGTTTCACCTAAGCTCCTTTAGCAGAACCTAGCACCATGTAAAATCCTTCCTGGAGTGAAAAGTTCAACAATAACAAGATGCATAGAATGGCTGCTGTTGACCTTCATAGGAGACTGGCTTTCATTCTTATGTGACTTTATCTACATCGACCTTAAATTATGAATGATGCTTTAAGGACCCAAAGAGAGTCCTGTTCCTTCAGTGTTCCTCAGAGCTTCTAAACATGAGCTCAACATGAGGTCAACCCAGGTATAATTTAAAACAAAAATTTTTATGCTTGTATTAAATAGAATGTATTTCTATTAAAGACAATGGTCTTTATGTAATGTGATAAATATGAAGTAATATTGTAAAGGTATAAGCAATAATATAATTATCAAAGGAAAACCATGGGTTATCAGGGTAACTGGAAACTTTAGCTAATTTAGTCCCTTATCCAACAAAGGCAGCACTCCACGCTGCTAGTTTGTAATGTGAGGTTCCAGACCAGTTCTCATGCTGCAGCAAAGTGACACAAAAAGTCAAGCCAGCTCCAGCCGTGGTATCATCAGGGAATTGGCATTACCACTATTCTTTGCTGAACATGGGGGGGGGGGGGCGGGTAGCAGTATATCCAGGCAATGTGTCTGCTGACAAAGGGCAGAAATCAGGCAACACCCTGGGCTTTGGCACCAAATTAGAGGGTCTCCAGTTAGCTGGGACTCCATTAATCTCTGAGCCATCTCTCCAGTACCCACCTCTTTAAAAAAAAAGTTGCTACTGTAATACTTACTCATACAATCCCCAAGAGACATGGACAGTTTGGGCATCATATCAGAGAGGGCTGCATAGAACCTTGGCAGTTGAATAATTCTGTTAAAACATAGAAGTCCTGTTTCACCATCTGACATGAGCCAAAACCTATGCCCCGTGCCATCTTTTATCTCACGTATGCCCAGTTACCACCCATATCTGTCATTAGCACCGGACAAGACCTTGATGGGTTTTATCTGTTGTTTCTACAGATTTTGAGCCATATAAATTCATCGACAGTGAATTTCAAAACTGCTCGTTTCTTCACAACAAGACAGGATGCCAAATTACTTTTGACGATGACTATAGTGCCTACTGGATATATTTTGTCAACTTTCTCGGGACATTGGCAGTGTTGCCAGGAAATATTGTGTCTGCTCTCCTGATGGACAGAATCGGGCGCTTGACAATGCTAGGTGTGTGCTTACATTCCTGAAAAGAAAGGGAGCTGTCCCTGTGTCATAGAGAGAACCTGTTTCCTACCTTGTTCCCTGTCCCTTAGAAATGCATGCCCATAAGAAATCCCTTAGACCTTTCATTATGACTGAACTGAAGTTAAAATTGTGTCTAACTACATTTCATATGAGCAATCCCCATGAGTTACAAACTGAAAAACTAATTATGTATAACTAATGTGTATTTTTTCCACGTAAGTAGATGAGTAGGGGGATGATGTACATTTCCACACGTCACATTCAAAAGGCATTTAGACTGCTTTTCAAACAAGTGGATACACTTGAACTTAAGTTCTATAGAGCCCAGTCTGCAGCTTCCTCATGGAGCTGTCTTCTTGAGAGACCTTCAAGACCCAAAGATCCTCACTCTTCTGGGACAACAGATCCTCACTCGATCTTCTGTCCTCTGTTGGCAGGTGGCTCCATGGTGCTCTCAGGGATAAGCTGCTTCTTCCTGTGGTTTGGCACCAGTGAGTCCATGATGATAGGTATGCTGTGTCTATACAATGGACTGACCATCTCAGCGTGGAATTCCCTTGATGTAGTCACGGTGGAACTGTACCCTACAGACCGGAGGTAGGCTGGTATGGGACCACTGAAAGGCCATTGCAGAACTAAGCAAACTGTCACACCCAAGGCAGTGAAAATTCACAAAATATCTAGCCTATGAACTTGTTGGTTTTGCTTATATCTTTCAGAAAGATTCCTAGCAGGAGTTAACAGGACAGTGTAGAAATGTAATTACAGCCATGATTTAACATGTTGGCCAACAATTACAGGGAACTGTAATGTCACAGTGAACATCAGGATTTAATAGCCGATCTTAACCTCCATTTCGGGAACTTCTCAGTCTTGTGAGAGTCATTGCCTTACATTCACAGGTACCTGTACTAGCAACTATAAAGAGGTAGCAGGTGTCTCTTGATCTTTCTAGGCTGTTGGAAGAAAGCCTAATATACGGATAATTATTTACAAGGAGGCTAGAGAGATGGCTCCATGGGTAAAACACTTGCCATATCAAGTGTGAAGACCTAGAACCCACGTAAATCTGAACACAGTAGCAGCAGCCAGTTCTGCCCCAAATCCAATGCTTGTAGTGAGAGGTAAGGACAGGAGAACCCCCAGAAACTTGCAGACCAGCCAGAATGGGGCATACTTCTGCCAACAAACCAAGATATTCTTTCTCAAACCAAGTGGAAAGAGGGAGCACCCCCTGAGGTTGTCCTCTGTGAGGTTTTATTCTCCCTCTTACAGTGAGACACAGTCACAAGTTTCCCTGAAAACAGACTCTGAAGACCAGCATGTAGGTGCAAATCTGTGTATGTTCACATGTGTGTATGTTAACTGTCATATATGCATATTCAATCAGCTAAGGTCATATTCAATTACTATCTAATGAGTCTGAATGGCACAAAACCCATATTATGTAAGGGTGTACGGGCAGTGGGGGTGTGACAATCTGTCCAGGCAGTGTATCTGCTGACAAAGGGCAGGAATCAGGCAACACCCTGGGCTTTGGCACCAAATTAGAGGGTCTCCAGTTAGCTGGGACTCCATTATGAGTCATCTAGTGTTCCAGAGACTCAGGTCTGCTCAAACAGCCACAGGAGGTGTTGGCACTTCTCATTTCTTTTAGTGACACCACCTGAACAGAGAGTGACCCCTCAGTCTTCCGACCTCCACAGTGTACTGTGGCTTGAAAATATTTGTGTGTTTACACACACACACACACACACACACACACACTTTTCTGAAGATTTATTTACATATGCATTTGTGTTTTGCCTGCATGCAAGTCTGTGTGAGCATGCCAGGTCCCCTGGAACTGGAGTTACACACAATTGTGAGCTGCCATGTGTGTGCTGAGAGCTGAATGTAGGTCCTCTGGAAGAATAGAGGGTGTTAAATCTCTCCAGTACCCCCCTCTTTAAAAAAAAAAGGTTGCTACTGTAATACTTACTCATACAATCCCCCAAGAGACATGGACGATTTGGGCATCATATCAGAGAGGGCTGCATAGAACCTTGGCAGTTGAATAATTCTGTTAAAACATAGAAGTCCTGTTTCACCATCTAACATGAGCTGAAACACATACCCTGTGCCATCTTTTATCTCATGCAAAATTCCCATGTTTTATTGCTTTGGATGTCCTCTGCACTGAAATAGTCTGTAGTCCTTGAAAAGAAAGAGAACACTCCCCACAAACAGACCTACACTGAAACATTTGAGCACTTGATTTGCTACTGATTCATTTTCATAATTTATTGACCACCCTTAGGTATATCCTGTACAGGGCAGACTCCCATATTTATTTCTCAGGAACATCTTAACATCTTTGCCTGGCTTATAAGGCCTGTATTGGTACCTATATGCCTAACTTCTTATCAAGCATCCAAAACACAATAACCCAAGATACCTGCTTATCAAACACTCTCATTCACATTCTTAGTAAACTCTCTGTCTTGTTCTTGGGCATTGAGAAGAATCATACAATCTGCATACAGCATCCCCTTGACCCAGCCAACCTAAGTTCACTCTCTATGTGTAGTAAATACAATGAGTTTTCCTTCGTCAGCATCTCATTTTGAAAACTGCACCCACAAAACTGGGCATTGATGGATACATTATCTCTGTGTTAAAGCAAAGCTGTAAGAGCCTCCTTCCCATTTTCTTTACATTGTGAGTTTGATGGAATTTTAGGTTAAATCATCTGGTCACATAACTCATAGGAGGATAAGTGATCAGTATTCTCTTGAGGAGGGGCGCTGGCTTTGAAAAGGAAGAAAAGAAAACTCAGTAATTGGGTAGGCCATTAGCTACCCAGATTCTGTGCTTGGAAAGGTGCAACACCAAGGAAAGGAAAAGTAAGCTTGCTGTGAGCGTTCACTTGGGTCTTCCAAGAATTGCATGTACAAGAACTGGGTAAGCTCTGCATGCTCTTTCCTCTCAACGGAGGGCAGGCCCATGTTGGTTCTGTGTACAGTCCCGTGTACATATAGTTGCAGCGTGGTCTGGTTGGGTCACTGGCAGGAAGGGACATAGTGGTTGCTGGGTCAGGTTTCTTTGAATAGTAGTGTCTGAACTTGGACTTGGGTTGCAAGCACACAAGGAGGCAGGAAGAGCAGGGTAGTCTGAGAAGTGACACCTGAAAAGGCCTGGAAGAGGCCAACCCATTGATCGTCCCATGAGGACCAGAAGAGGGGGCTCATATAGAGATAGACAAAATCAGACATAGGTTGGGAGTTCACTCTAATGCCCAGAGAGGAGGCAGAAATCTTACTTGCATTGCGCCCCGAGGAAGATGTAACCAGAGAAAATTTGGATGGGGAAAGGAGAGGTCAGAATCCCACATGTTTATGGATACTCGGGAAAAAAATTAAGCAAACTGCATGGTTGGTTATATATTGGAATGAGGGAAAGGGGTTCTCAAAGGAGGGAATCTTTGTTGAGAACATGGTTGGGCCATGTTGAAGCAGGGACTTTGGGGCAGCAGAGCATTTAGGCTGGAGTCAGGGAGATAATGAGTTCCATTTAGAGGAGGTTGAATTGTCATGTCTTCACAGAGCTGCCCAGTGGGCATTTGAATATTTATGTCAGAAGCAAAATGATGCCTCATGTGGGGATAGAACCCACTGACTAATTGATCCAACAGATACTTTGGGAATGCATATCCCGTGCCAGAGTGGTTTCAGTCACTGGGGTCCAGGAGTGCTCAGACAGCAAGTCTGGGTTTAATGGAACCTATGCTCAGGTTGTGAGAAGACAGTCAATAAACGACTAGATAACGGAAGTGGACATAGCATATCAGTTGGTGCTTATAGAGAAAAACAAAACTACCCAGGGGCATAGAGAATGCTGGCGTGGAGGAGGGCCGTAGTTGCAATAGCAGGGTCCAAGAGATATAGATCCCATAAGGTGACATTTGAGTAGATGCTTTGGAAGAGAGCTTTCACAGCATAGGTAACAATAAGTGGCAAGGCCCCAAGAGTATGAGGGGAAGGGATCAGTTAGAGGAGGGGCTGGACTGGGCATGTCCTCATTTCAATGTCCCCCTCCTCACCTTCTCTTTTTAGTCTCTTTTATTGTCAAAACTGTAAACTTCTCTCAAATCCCATGTGTCACGTTTTGCTTTTTTTGACCAACATGGCTTTCATCTAGCCAGTGGCTTTCTGCTGCCACCATGTGGCCGTGGTGGAGTTTTTTTTTTTTTTCCTTAACACGTCTATGTCCTTCAACCTTTCCCTCCCTGGAGCCCAGGCCAGGACCCACACCTGGGAGGTGATGGAATCCTGTGCAGGCCTCGGACTGGAGTATAAATCCTCCCTGCAGTGAGTTCCTGCCTTTCCCTGGCCACCGGCCTCCTCCTTCCTGTGCTCTCAAGTGTGCACAGTTCAGATATGACCCCGAGAGAGGTTTGAAAGCAAAACCCTGGCAGCTCACACCTGCTACCCCCTGCTAGTCTTGATGGTCGCTGCTGTCAGCCAAGTCTGTAGGATTTTTCTCCTTCTCAGTGAGGTAACATCAAACCACTGGCCAGAGTTAACCCCCTAACTCTCTCCCCTCAGGACTGTTCCAGTTCAGACAGATATTTACATTTCCTCCCCACAACCGACCAGTAACAGTAACCCTGACCCTTACTGACCATGGGTGCCTGTAGGGAGATCACTCAGGCATCCTGTGCCTTGGTGGGTCCTTCTACTGCCAGAATTCCCCTTGCCACCACCTTCGTCTGCTGCTCTATAATAACCTCCTTTTTAGATTTTGATATGAAGGACTCTTTGAACTACCTACCGAACCTATGTATTCCTGGTTTACTTTTCTCTGTGTGCCACATCGTCACATTTCTATCTGTCTGCATTTTTCCATGTTTACATTTTGGCCGTTGAGCAGAGTCAGATTCTTTCTCTCTCTGACAGAAATGAAGAGTGAGAGCTGAGCATGACGGCCTGTGTCTGTAATCCCAGCACTGGAGAGACTGAGGCAGGAGGATTAGGATTCACATTTTAGGCCAATCTGAGCTCCATAGAAAATTCCAGGCCAGCCTGAGCTATGCAGCAAAACCCTGTCTCTGAAAAAAGAAGGGGAGCGTGAAGGAAGTATACACAGTTTTTACCACAGCCCCACTACTACAGTGTGGTGCGAGCATTTCTGGCTGCGTGTAAAAACAGGATGGATGAGAAACAGATGAGGGAAATAGTCATCCAGCCGTTCTTGAGCTGGAAAGTCACCTCCCTCTATTCTGGGTACCGAACAAGTCCTTGCATGAAAGGGCCACAGGCATCATGATGTAGAAACAGCACAACCACCAGCTTGTAGCTCATCAGGCGTCGGGCGTCCTTGTTAAGATACAGTGTTCAGGCTTGTGTGCTCTAGGACCTGGATCCATACCAAGAGTCCCATACCACTAGTTTGAGTCTGCTGGGCTCAGAGGATGTCTGGTTTCCTACTGTGCTAATGGCAGGGCATTCTTTCCAATCAACTGCATGCCCTAAACCCTGCTCATATCACCAATGAAAACCCATCCTCCACCCTTGCCAGCTTCTAGAATGGTACATCTACTGCAATCATTGCCTGCC